GCTAATGGTGTAAAGAAGAGCTTGTTGTATGTATAGTATTTCGCTTTGCGATAAGATACAGTATGATTTATTTTCCGTCACGGGGTTCATTGAGCTTCTACTTTCCTAGACAGCTCTATAGAAAACAGCGTTATCGATGAATGTTCTAGCAACTATACAAATTTCACATAGAATTTTCAAATCCTATTCTGCGCTTTCGTATAACGGTTGTGAACATCTTTTGATAGGTGGCCTCTGAAAAACTTAAATATGATATCTTGTGATTTTTCGAAGTAAGTGAAGTTCAAGTCTAGCGGTACTGTAAATAAAGAACAATCGTGTTATGGAGAAATAGAAAGGAAATTAGCAGTGGCTGATTGTGAATGGCATTATGGAGGGGCACCAACGAATGACTACTCGCTGCACCAGAAGATTCCTCGAAGAAAAGCTTCAGACTGTTTAGACTCATGTAATGAACATCAATAGTGCAGATCGAATGGATTTGAATAAGCAGTATCAGTTCCTAAGAACTGGGAGATGTTTTCAATTAAACTGTAATAACGCCTTTTCCCATGCGCAATATATGTATAGTGTATTTAACGCAAAGATCACTTGAGAACATTATATTCATCTCATTGAATTGAGACTTGAATGAAATAAACAAGATTTTCTGCTGGAATATTGCCTTATATGTACTGATTCGTATGTCGACACGTATAGAGGTATGTTCAAATTCCCTCTTTAGTCCAACCGCTACTTCGAGTCAGAGCTCCTTTTAAGTATGGTAGTTCGATTATCAATCAGACCTAATATGATTGATTTTAAGCAAAAGATTCAACTAAACTAGTTTTTCTGTAGCAGACGTCTTATTAAGGTGTGAATGTAGGTGTCAATATCAGTGTAAAGAATACTTTCATCTGTACACGACGACCGATCCATAGACACAGCCACACCCAACAAAACTAGGAAACAGCTAAGCATTCAGTCGAGGGTTAAGCGAGACATGCTGACGAGCGTTACTTGTTTTTAGCGTAGAAGAAAAGCACAACTTGTTGAAAATATTTCACTAGAACTTTCAGGAAAGTTTTTAGAAAAATCTTTCTATATAGGCTTCGATGCATTTTTATCTCTTCTTTCCAACGGTAAAACTGCAGGTCTCTATCTTATTTCTATAAAAATTCATTCGAAAAATACTCATGGCTATTTATCTCTGAAATGGACAGTAGTTCATACTCTGATATATAAAAAAGTGAAACTATGGTACTATTAAAAGAATCAAAATGATGTGAGTCTTGATAAAAGAAAATAAATGGTAAAAGTAATAACACTTATTACGATAGAATATATGATGATATTAAACATAGAGATAATAGTCATCAAAAAATAACATCATTGTATTCGTGTTCCACTGAGCAGACTTCGGTACTTCAGTAAATGATAGGGTATCAGTGAACTCGATGTCGATTTAATGCCACTGGTAATGATATGACTGCGGTGTAACCCAATGTTCAATGGACCGTCTTTTAGTGACATCAGTTATTAAGGAGCCGAAAATACGTATCTCTAGCTGCTTGTTTAATATTGTGTTTCTGATAGAAGAAGAGACTTTCTTGGATTATTGTTGCCTACTTTTCGTGCAAATTGTAATGACCACTGCGAGTATGAACCATACTATTGACAATAACAGAACAGTGCTACTGATTAGCAACATCTCCAAAAATCGATTCGGATTCAGAGGTGACCATCGAACGTGTTTCGTCAGTTCGATCATAGTAACAATCACAAAAACGAGACATTCTGGCATGAAAATAAAAAACTGTCGTCTTCAAAATGAAGTTTAGTGCGCATACACTTACAGTCTATCGTTTTACAAACAGAACAGCACTTTTATTGATAAAAAATATTAATTTTCATAAAATAAATGATTGTTGACACTTCATAAGCATTTGTGAACATGAATTGGTTAAGCAGCTAATAGAAAATTGAATACCATAACATAATTAATTAGAATATTTCACGCTACAGTAAATCTGTTCAATTAAGTATGAATAAACTAAACAACATGAGTTTTCATAATTTGCTTCTTTATCATGTACTAGCGGAGGTACCCGATGGTAGTCATAATAATTTTATAATATATACTTGCTATATTAGAAAAAGATGTCATTATGATCTCCTATCAATTATTGGAATTCGATATCGCAAAACATGTTCAGATCACTTTCCCTTTTCAATTGATATTTTTCCCCCTTTGAATTTTTAAAAACATTTCTATCCTTTTTTAGTGTTCTTTTTGTTTGATTGACTTCTTTTATTACAAAAGACCATTTACTGAAATACAACGTCTATTGCAACGCTTTTTGATGCAGAACTTTCTTGACTTTCGCATCAGCGACTAAAATTAGCAAATTCTTCCCAGTTCCAATTCCTCAGCATACTGTGTTAAGTTGACCCTGAGAAAGTCAAGAACTCTCTACATGAATACCAACCGCTTTAAGTAATTATTCTTGAGCCTTGTTGATAGACATTGCGGAGGCAAGACGTACAGGAAGCTGAAGACGCTTAAACTCAAACGGTATTTCAGTAAGAACCATGAATATTCATGGTATGAATACATGCTCACTCTTTGCGCAGCCTCTCAACATTATTTTTCTTATCCTACATTAGAGATAGAGATTTGAGAATTTTCGGCTCTATATGAATATCCGGGCGTAATTTTATTTTCAACGACTATACTTTTTATTGTCTGCTCCGTTTTTGTCATTGTCCGATGCTGCTCTTCTACAAAATGTTCCACAAAACGCTCATAAGCGACGAAGATACTTTCTCAAGTTTGGAGACTGTTCGGCCCACCACCCTTTTCTCAATTTCCGTCTCCAATGTCATCAAGTTCCTCGCCTTTAATCAACTGTTCAAAAACAACCTCCAAATTTGAAAAAATATGTTCGTCGTTGATGAGTGTTTTGTGAAGCATCTTATAGAAGAACAGTATCTGAATACGACAGCAACAGAGAAGACAAAAAAACTATAGTTGTTGAAGATAAAATTACACCCGGATATTCATATAGAGCCGAATTTTCAATTTTTGCAATCTGGGTAGTATTACATTGAATTACTTTCCTTTCCTTGTCTGTCGCGCCAATCTACTCTCAATTTTTCTCTCAACTAAAGAGTATATGATGAAAACTTTGATGGCGCTGGTTATTACCGAAATCAAATGCACAAACAACAGACGGCCAAACATTGTTATTTATATAAACAGAAGATACTCGCTTCCATACCTATACCTACATTCAGTGCTTAGATTCCTGAATCGAACTCATCGCCTCTAGAACCCGTACCTGAGTTCTTTCGTAACAACCAAAGGTTCATTAGCTAGGTTTCTTAGTAGCTGAATTCATATTGATTTCCAAACAACTGATTAGATTTCAAGGGAATAGGCCTCTCTTTCGAACTCATTACTTCGAGAAACCCCCTGATACATAATTTCCTTGAAAGTATATGCGTTTGGATCTATTTTCTTAAGAGCTGAACCCCTATTGGTTTTCAAACAACTAATCAAATTTCGAGGCATATGTATCTCAAAATCGAACTCACCGCCTTGAAGAACTCCTTGCTCCATTGTTTCTTTGAAAATATAAGTATTTGGCTGGTTTTTAAAGAGCTAAATTTCTATTGGTTTCCATACAGCCAATCGGATTTTGAGGTCACTGAGCCTTGGATTCGAGCTCACCGCCTCGAAAAACCTCCTGCCCCCTCACTTCTTAGAAAGTATAAGCATTCGGGTCTATTTTCTCAAGAACTGAATCCCTATTGGCTTCCGGCCAACCAATCAGGTTTTGAGGCAAATGGGCTTCAGATTCCAACTAACTGCCTCTAAAAACCCCTGCCTCATCATTTTCTTGGAAGTATAAACGTTTTGGTCCGTTCTCTCAAGAGCTAAATTCCTATTGGTTTCTGGCCAACCAATCAGATTTCGAGGCAAATGGACCTCAGATTCGAATTTATCACATTAAAAAACCCCATGCCCCATCATTTTCTTGAAAGTATAAGTGTTTGAGTCTATTTTCTTAGCAGCTAAATTACTATTGGTTTTCGGACAACCAATCAGATTTCGAGGCAAATGGACCTCAGATTCGAATTTATCACATTAAAAAACTCCATGCCCCATCATTTCCTTGAAAGTAAAAGTGTTTGGCCCTGTTATTTTAAGAGCTGAATTTCTATTGGTTTCCAAATAACCAATCAGATTTGAGGCAAATGGATCCCAGATTCGGACTCACCGCCCTCGAAAACCTCTAGTTCCATGTTTGCTATGGGTTCATGAAGTGGAGCTCAGTAGTAATTCTATAGTACGGAATACTGCAATCTGATTGGTTAGCAACTTAGGCAGGCATTTCCGGGACGAAGGATCAACTTTTTTTGAGAAAAAAGTAGACGTCGACCTTTCCCGGAATAAGAGGAAGATTCCTGGAAAGTTTGGTGGCATTTGCTCGTACCGTGTCCAAATGCATGAAGAACAAACAGACAGACAAACATTCTTCTTTATATATATAGATAACAACAGATGGCATGGTTTTTCCACTTATTCAATAGATTACAAGAATGTTTGCAACAGCACTGTAATCGTCCCTTGGTAAGATAAACGAATTAACAGGAACATGAGAGTTTTAAAACTCTGTTTTCATATTCACTTTTCTCTTTGAAGAAGAAAATACCAAAGGAAACAATAGTAGCTATGTTCACATATCAAAATCATCATCGTATTCTTGTACATCTGTCTGAACGAACATATTGTTAACTTTTCAGAAATTTCTTATTCTCAATTTTAGAGTAAGTATATGTCAATCTTCTTTCGCTATTGATACATGAACACCTTTGCTTGCTTCTAATCTTATTTCATAATCGAATATTTGAAAATATTTTTCACTAGCTTCAATTGCAGCGCTTTTGTACGTTTTTATTTTTGTTATAATAATAGAAACAAAAAACAAAAAAGAGAAACTCGACTGTTACGATAACTAAATTTCGACAAACGAATGCTTTCTTTTCAAAATAAAAAAAATAATTCCATTTATCATCGATTGCAAAAGTATTAGAGCAAATATACCAAGTAAAAATCCATTAAGTATTCTATATGATTTTCTGCATAAATGATTACCATTATCATTTTCTATTGTTCTACCATTACATTTATCAGTTAATATAATGAGCATACCAATACTAAATATAATCACTACACGTATACTCTGCCAAAATAATGAGTGAAAAAGTTTTGAATAATCTGTCTGATGATGATTAGATAATGCAGTAGTACCTAGGCCAATAAAAATAAGAAATAATCTACCCCAAAATCCAAAATAATAATAACTGATTAAATATGATATGACAATAGCTATTTGTATCGCAATAGAAATCAATCCAAATATTATGGTAATTATACCATTCAGAGTTAAATATATACGAATAGTTTTCGATATTATGTGATCACGATTAGTTGATAAATTTTCTTGATCAGTTTGTACTTGACCATCTGTTAATGGTGGTTCAGGATAATTATTAAAATATAAAATTGATTGATTATTATTATCAAAATAAGTTGATAATTGAACTCTATTAAGTTCATTGTCACCTTTTTTATAAACAACTGAGTTCTATGGTGGTGATGGTGGAGATGATTCAGTGCTACCGTTAGTTTCATTATTAATACTCTTTGACATTCTATCCACTTTTGGCATTTTTTGTTTATATAGTACTTTTTTTGTCGTTAGTTTCTCTTTGACTCATGTGAACAAGTAGAAAGGACATAATTTGTATGAAATCGAGCCTGACTTTTTTTATGTATACATTAACTACAAGACTAGTCTCACATCTGTAGAAAAACAAAAAATTATACAAATTTCGTTTTTTTATGTACGTAAATAATGATGTAGGGTGTGGGTGTGGGTGTGGGTGTTTTATTCTTCTATTAACTTACGCACACCCACCCACACCCACACCCAAATAGTCAATGTTTTTTTTATTTAAAATATTTAAGAAAAAAGATTTATTTATTTCAAATTGAATAGTATCCATTTGAATCATTCTGTTCACATCTTATGAAATACGAATTCATTAAAATTTTTTCGAGTAGTTTTAGTTCTAATACATGACTTCAAAATTAATAAATTATTTTAGTTTCTATTCATAGAATTTAACTGATATAAAATGATCGATTGAAATAAATTAAGATAAATATAATTGGTTAATTTATTTCAATGAAAAGAATAGGAGGTTCTTTGAAAAAAATATCTTAAACCATTATCTTAACAATAAAGTTGTTTTATTCAATATAAATAGATCAATGTTGTTTATTATCTTATCAATAATACCATTCGATAATTTTATTAAAATTAAAAACAATTTACTAAACAATATTTTTTGTTAAAATTAATCGATGATCGAATCAAATTTTTTTGAATATATATTTAGTAGTGAGAGAATCAAAAGATTTTCTCGACATCTTGTCCAATCGTAAAATTGTAACGCTCTTGATACATTTTTCTTCTTTTGCATTATCTCTGGAATTCTGAGAGCGAGAAAGTTCTTTATGAAGCTGACAAGAGACGCAATAATTTAGAAACTGTATAAGACTACAAATTTTTCTTAGCCACAAGAGTCAAAACTACATAGGTCAACTTGTAGAGAACGAAATTCTGCAGCGAATGTTATATTTTTTGGTTTTTTGGAAAATTTTCTTGGTTGTAAAATTAAAAATACAATTTTTGAAAAATTTAAAACCTTATTTTTAATGCTAAAATCTAATTTTTGTACAAAATAAATATCAAAATTTATAATCAGTGTTAAAAACTACATTTATTGGATTGATGCAAAAGTGCCCGCCGATTTTCTTAAAATTTTTTTACATCCATTTAGTAGTATTATCCAAACATGATTTTTGCACATATGCTACTAGTTGTGTCCCACTATTAAATGACATCAAACAATGTTCCAATTTATTTACATTTGAGATTAAAATATGTCAGAGATTCCTATCCATATTCGACATTGGATTTTGCACGAGTTTCAATTAGGAAACAATGCAACCGCTGCTACCCGCAATATCTGTGCTGTACTTGGCAAAGGGTTAGTTGCTGATCGCACTTTTAGAAATTGGTTTAAAAGATTTCATGAAGGTGGCATGTCATAAGAAGATCGACCGAAGTCTGGACGTCCAGTCGAATCTGATATTGAACGATTAAAAGTCTTGATCGAAGATAATCCATGATTAACTACTCGCGATTTGTCAACAATGCTCGGGTGCAACCAATCCGCCATCGATCGCCATTTGCATGAAATAGAAAAAGTTAATCAACTTGGAACATAGGTTCCTCATCATATGCAACTTTTTGTTGTCAAAGTGCAACCGACACAGGTTTTTCCAGAAGATTGTCACTGGTGATGAAAAGTAGGTATTATATGTCAATCATACACACAAGTGCCAATGCGTAAATTCTGAAGACTTGCCTGAATGTGAACTAAAAAACTACCTGCATTCGAAAAGAATTATGCTCTCGATTTGGTGAGATTTTCAAGGAGTTATTTACTGGGAATTTCTACCTCCTAACACCACGATAGATTCACAGTTGTATTGCAAGCAATTTGAAAATTTGAAGGTCGCACTACAAGCCAATCGTCCAGAAAAAAGGAAAAGTTCGTCTACTTCATGACAATCCCAAACTACATACTGCAAAGATTACCCATCAGAAGCTGGAAGAATTAGGGTGGGAGATCTTACCCCACCCACCGTATTCATCCGATCTTGCACCTTAAAATTATCATCTGTTCCGCTCGCTCTGCAATCATCTGGTTCAAAAACTTTTCGACAATCAGGTGCATCTAAAATCGGACTTTGAAATTTTTTTTTCGTCTTTGTCCAATAAGCTTTTTGAAGATGGCATTCTAGATTTGTCTAATAGATGGGAATACATCATACACAATAATGGTGTATATGTTGTTGATTGATGATACTTTGTTTCAATAAAATTTTGAAACATTGAAAAGAAAAAAAATCGGCGGACACTTTTCTCGATAGATACTCATTTTGCAAATAGGAAGAAGATATTCGAAACTTTTCATAGGAAATAAAACAATTATTATATTCTAGATTTTTATATATTTGTTAATACGTTAAAGAAAAATGTTTCATTTGTAAAAACAAATCTCGTCGAAAAGTACTTCTAAATAATAAATTGAGAACAATTGAAATTCATTTAAATCGAGAATTAAAATCTAGAAATAATTCATCAATCAAATGATTGATATAATAAAATAGCTAATGATTTTTTGTTTTTCAAATCGAACAAAAGTATCATTATCTCTATCAATAGACGAATAGATTAGCTACTAATTAGTCCTAAATAATCTTATGTATTAGATTCAATACATACAATAAATAGTCATCTTTATAATATGAATATTTATTCAATCATCATTATTTTATTGTGATCAAGATAATAGTTTGAGTTCATTGATTTTATTAAATAATATATCGATTAATAAACAATTAATTAAATTAAATTATTTAGATTTTGAAAATAAAGAAATATATCTTGAAGAAAATCAATATTATTATTATCGTCAATATAATGAAAATGAGAAATTAACTATTAATAAAGAAGAATAAGATGATTATGATAATAAAACAAAAAGAAAATAAATTTCAAAAATCTATATGAAATTTAGTAGCAGGAAAATATTTTTGTCATATTGTATTATCAAAAGTCTTATTAAATTATAAGAAAAATAGTGATTTTTCAGTTTTAGATTATTACGTGTACTTAAAATTATCAGGTTTATGCCAATACTTAGACGATAATTGGTAATTAACCTTTTCTTTTTTTTATTTGGATTATTTTATCTATTGATTGATAACCATTATTAATAGAAATATCATATTCAACTAATCGATTCTGCTTTATTTTTGTTTTAATTTTTATAAGATTCGATAAGTATCTAATTTGAACATACTTATTTCTATTTTAATGATATTTTATTAAATAACTATGTTTAATAATTTTGAGAAAAAAATTTTCTATATGTGCATAAAAGATAGAAAATGATTATTTAAGAGAAGATTTTTATATATAATCTTAATTTTTGAAAAATTTTCAATAAATAAATTTAATTGATTTTGTTTTTGCTATAAATTGTCATGCTTAAAACAATTGATAATGTGGCTACATTTTTCTCTTTATTACTTTTATTTATATTCATATTCAGGTAAGTTTAGAGAAAAAAACGAAACACAATAAATGTGTTTAGATATTTGAATAAAAATAAATATTTATAAAAAAAGAAAAAAAACTCTTCGCTAGTATATCGGGTATGAATCTTTGTGGTTACAAATATATTGAAGTAAAACATAGCAAACGTCTTGAATCTATGGGTTATTTCAACTGTGTTTTAATTGTTCATACTTTTGTAAACGACAAAAAACACTAAAGTTAAAATGTTGTTCTGCTTCTCAATATTGTTATTGATAAATATGCCTATATAGTATTCTTGGCATGCATTTATTTGCTGGTGAATTTTGTTTACTAGAAGCATTTAATATAATATCACATAAAGAAATTCATATTAAATGTAAATGTTGTAGATGTTATCAAAATGATTTTTTCAAGAATGATATTCATCTCAAAGATTCTTATTGTTTAAAACAGAGAAAAAAATTTGATTCATTCGCTTCTGTATTACTAACCGTTTTTCAGATAGCTTTTTTCAAAT